AGAGCTGGGCCTCAACTGCTGGACCTACAACAGTTGATCCTTATGTGACTGGAGCCCCAGTCAACATCTGACTGAAACTGCATGAGAAAACCCAAGCTGCCCGGGCTGAGCACATCCTGAATTCCCAGAAAACCGTGAACAAAGTGAAATGAGGATTTTAAGCTACTGGTTTAGGGGAGTAATTTATTATGTAGTAGTTATAAGTAGTACAATGTCTTTAGTAATATTCTTTTTTCTTTCTTTTCTTTTCTTTTTTTTTTTTTTTTTAGAGACAAGTTTTCACCATGTTGGCCAGGCTGGTCTTGAACTCCTGACCTCAGGTGATCCTCTAGCCTCGGCCTCCCAAAGTGCTGGGATTACAGGTGTGAGCCACCGCGCCCGGCCAGTAATATTCTTAAGATAAGTCATCCAGGCCCTGTGCAGTGGCTTACGCCTAATCCCAGCACTTTGAGAGGCTGAGGAGGGTGGATCACTTGAGGTCAGGAGTTGGAGACCAGCCTGGCCAACACAGTGGAACCCCATCTCTACTAAAAATACAAAAATAGCCAGGTGTGGTGGTGGGCACCTGTAATCCCAGCTACTTGGGAGGCTGAGGCAGGACAATCCTTTAAACCTGGGAGATGGAGTTTGTAGTGAGCTTAGATCACGCCACTGCACTCCAGCCTGGGCAACAGAGTGAGACCCTGTCTCAAAAAAAAAAAAAAGATAAGTCATCTAGAATCAAAGTTAACATAGAAACATTTCTTTAATTTTTTTTTTTTACAATGGTTATAGTTATAGTCTATGGTCAGAAGAGAAAGATAACAATAGTATAATTGACCTAAGACCCTCAAAACAGGATCATGCAACGTTTAAAGCGACTTATTTTTTTTTAAGCATAGCCTTGAAAAGTAGCTTAACTCTCTTCAAACTAGAAATATATCCATGGAACATGAGTATTCTGAAAAAACAACATCCAATTTAAGAAAAATAAAGCCAAGATGACCCATTAAATAACAACTACAGTTGTCTTATTTCACATTATCAGTGCTTTTCAGGACGACTGAATTTTTTGTTTTTGTTTGAAAAAAGAAAAGTTATCCTGAGTCTTTATTTACTCTAACCACAGTGAAACACATTCTGGTCTGGTGATCAGAGGAAAAATACAGAAAGATAAGAATAGAATCCCGCCTCCTACCCCTCCAGCCAGATTGTGTGGCACATGTTCTTCCCATTTTAAATTCATAGATTTTTTCAGTATTATAAGAATTCAAGTGCTCTATTCGGTTAAAGGGTGGAGCATGATCCATTTCCCAAGAATGACAGCTTCATGACTCCAAGGACAGAGAGCTTGTCTGAAGAGGCAGGCTCCAGTCCCTGCAGAAAATGTATTCTAACAGGTGACAATTTAAGGGCCTACCTGGGAGAGTAGCTAAAATTGCCTCTTCATTTTGGTTTCTCTGTTAAGTTGTAATTGTAGCCCTGACCAACCTTAAGAGTCACTGTGACCCCCTCAGGGCAGAGTTTGCACAAAGTCCCCTCCCATAATACAGGGGGAGCAACTTAGAGGGCAGGGGGCAGGGAGGGGTCCATTCTCCCTGGTAGAGTTGGTGGGGGCTGTAGTTGCCCCCTCCCTCTCCCAGCCTCTTGATCTTCGATAAAATGATCTTAAACTACAATCAATCAATCAATCAATCAGTAAATAAATAAAAGTCGTCACCGTGTAGATTGGGGAGGCTGCAAATTGGTTAAGAAAAATCAGTGTGGGAATTAAAAATACTAAATTCGCTTTGCAAATATGATACTTTTCAAAATCAATTACACTTGCTTTGAAAAAAAAGGTTAATCTTTAACATTTGCATTCACCATGGCCACATGTGCTTGTGCTGTGGCTGCCTTTTGCCGTCTTAATGGCAATATTCACTTATAAGTAGGGTAAGTGAATGTGTGTGGGTGGGGGTTGTGGGGTGGGCTTAAGCAAATAAACCTAAAACCCACTCAAGGTCCTTTTGGGTTTGACACTAATGAGTGGAACAGGTGGGGAGATGCTATTTTCATGACTGCACTAACTACAGGTGGTATGTAAAGTCCATATGAAATAAGACAAATAGACTAGGCACGGTGGCTCACGCCTGTAATCCCAGCATTTTGGGAGGCCGAGGGGGGTGGATCACCTGAGGTCAGCAGTTCAAGACCTGCCTGGCCAACATGGTGCAACCTCGTCTCTACTAAAAATACAAAAATCAGCCTGGTGTGGTGGCAGGCACCTGTAATCCCAGCTACTTGCGAGGTTGAGGCAGAATTGCTTGAACTGGGAGGCAGAGGTTGCAGTGAGCCAAGATCATGTCACTGTACTCCAGCCTGGGCAACAAGACTAATTCTGTCTCAAAAAAAAAAAAAAAAAAAAAAAGACAAATTAGTGATTATCTAGATGACAAACAAATTCACAGTTCAGTTTCTTTAAATGGTGAGTCCCTTCTTTTTTGAAATATGCTTAAAATATCACAGTTTGCCATATACCAAACTTTTTAAGGAATATCTCTTGTTACAAAAATAAGGGCAAGTCTGTATCCAATAACATTGGTTCCCAAGCCTATGAAGAAAAGACATTTTAAAATACACTTGCCTTTTTTTTTTTTTTTTAATTAGTTCAACTGTTAAAATTTTTCCCATTATGTCTCCTTTTCCCCTACGTTTGTAAGGTCTCATTCTTCTCTACTTGGCTCCAAGGCTCCTTCCTCTCTGAGATCTTGGGATCTTCTTTCTGTGAATCCTGGTCTCTCCTCTGCTGGGCTCTCACTCACTTCATTCACTTCTCTATGTAATTCCAAAGCTGTGCTGAAACCACTTGCTTATATCCTGTCTTCCCCATTAGACTGTGAACTCCAAGGACCAAGACCTGTAACTTATCTATTCATCTCTGTTTTCATGTCCAGCGTCCAGCCCTCTGTGTAAGAGGTACACAAGCAATGCCGTATCAGACCTGTCTGCTGTCACATTGTTAGCTGTGCATTTCTAATATGTAATATGTCTCTTCCCCTTAATCCTTGTGATTTTCCACTGGATTCTTTTGAGTTTTGATTCTGAGGTTCTTCTTCTTTTTTTTTTTTTTTTTTTTTTTTTTGACAAAGTCTTGCTCTGTCTCCCAGGCTGGAGTATAGTGGCTCACTGCAACCTCCACCTCCAGGGTTCAAGCAATTCTCATGCCTCAGCTACCCAAGTACCTGGGATCACAGGCAGGCACCACCATGCCTGGTTAATTTTTGTATTTTTAGTGGACATGGGAGTTTTGTCATGTTGGCCAGGCTGGTCTCGAACTCCTGGCCTCAAGTGATTCCCACCCCACCCCTGCCACACCACCTCCGCCTCCCCAAGTGCTGGGATTACAGGCATGAGCCACCATGTCCAGCCTGATTCTGAGGTTCTTAAGAAACAGAGATCATGTCAGCTGATTCAAGCCTTACAGAAATTGGTGTGTTTGTGTGTGTGCGCTCATGTGTACCTGTGTGTGTTTATGTGTGTGTGTGGGGGCGTAGGTGAGCATTGTCTCCCTTTCTCTGGCTCTACTTCTCATGTCCACACCCCACCCTCACACTCTATTTTCATCCTTCTCATTTCTCTTTTTGGAGTACATCTGAAGGTGAGAAAACTTCATCGTACTACTATATTTGTACTTGCCAAATATTATGCAGAATCCAGCTGCAATTCTTAAATGATTCTGAAGAAAGTGGTATATATCTAGTGCAAAATACATTTCCTTGTAATCTCTAACTATAAGCATCCTCTTCTCGTTTCTAAGTATGGCATGGTGTAAATAAACTGTCTGAACTTTTTCCAGTGTAAAGAAACAGCCTAGAAATATTCCAAAGTCAGTACAGACCATCCTTTTAAGAACATCTAATGGCATGGGAAATGGTTACCAGAAGGGAAAAAAAAAAAAAAAGCCATGGTATAAAGCTAAATAGGATTGAATTCCATTTAGGTATGTTCATTTTTTTCTCTTTCTCTCTTTCTGTGTGTGCAAGTGTGTATGTAAAGATTGAAAGGCAATACATAAGACTGTAAGCAACTGCTAATTGAAATCATGGGACTTATAATTACTTTCTTCATTATACTTCTTTTCTGCATCTTCTCAATTTACCAAATTATAATGTACTTTTTAAACCGGGAAGAACACACACACACACAATTCTTACACGATATTTAAAAGAAAAAAAAAAAAACCCTAAAAAATTTAAAAACGAAATAGAGGCATTTAAAAGGAAATCTGTTTAATGTATTGTAGCCTGGGAAAAGGGGAATGCAGAGGGGCTTTTTAAAAAAAATTTTTTTAAATGAAACATTGTTTCAGATTTGCAAGAGTAGAATCGTGAATTGAGGTTCCATTGGCTTAACCATTTAACCACACTGCCATTATCATTTCGTTTATTTCCCCTTCCCATTTTTTCTTCCAAGTAGTTTTTTTTTTTTTAAAGGATGCCTGTTACGCCCTAATTCGGCCGGATATATTTTATGTAGCTCGGCTTTTTTTTTTTCTTCTTTCAGGATGCTTTAGAAAGCCTCAAAGCTAACGTGAGACAGCATCTTGATTCTGCAAGTACTTGTCCTTCAACCCAAGCCCCCCAATATCCGATTGAAGTCTTCGTGAGCAAACATCTGACAAAAGAAATGCGATGTGCTATTTACTCAACTTTTCTTGTGTCCCTTGGGTCGGAGAACAGACTCCAGCGTCCAGGAGAAAGCCGGGCCTCGCCGGGCCTTGGCAGCCCAAGCTGCCCCATTGTGATTCAAGATTCGGGGTGTAAACAAATGCAGTGTTTAACAATCACCAGTTTGCTTTTAATGTTTTATAGCCGTGACTGGGGCTCAGGAAGAACACAGTAGTGTCTTCTTCACTGGAGCTGAAGTCCAGGCTTTATGTCGATTTGGGCAGGCGGCACTGGCAGCTGCAAGCCCTCAATGGGCGCTTTCTCGCCGCAGCGCCGGCCGCACCGCCGCGTTGCCGGGAGCCCGGGCCGGAGCCGCTCGGGAGGGAGCGCGGCGGGGGCAGGAGGAAGCGGCGCTGCCCAGCCCGGGCCGGGCCCCCATCTCCCGTCTCGGTGACAGGTGCTGCGGAACAAGGAGAAAAGGGAGCCCTCCCCGCCCGCTCCCAAGCCCGGGCTCCGCGTCTGACACTAACTGTCGTGTTTTTTATTGCCTTTTTGTTTCAGGAATACAGGGCATTGGCAGGCGGAGATGTACCCTGTGGCTTGGGCTTTCTCTGCAAGGCCAGTGGGGATGAAACCAGTAACAAAGACCCTGACTTTGCTTAATGACCAAGGCTCACTTAGATAACGAACCGGCGCTGCTGTTGGCAGAGAGCCTTCTAATGCTCGCTGCAGCGTGGCCTGTGAAAGTGGGAAGGCGGATTGGAAGGAAAGAGCTGCCTAAGTCCTATTTCCTTACAACCAAAGGAGATGATCTTCTCTTGGTTTGGGTTGATCATTATTTGTCACTGTTTATTAAGCGTGATTTACTGAGAACTTTTATGTTCCAGGTATCACATAGTTTATAGTCACTCGCTACAATCCTGCACAGTTTTGTTGCTGATTTTCTTTTTTTTTATAAAAGAGAAAATTGAGTTTCAGAGATGTTAAGTAATTTGTCCAACGCTATTACACAGCTTATAAACGGCATACCCGAAAGCCAATCTTGTTATGGCTATAACTTTTACTCTTTCTATGAGGAACACATACCGTATGCCTTATAAATTTCACATTGAAGGTGCCAGGTGGCTGTGGCTTAGAACAGGTGAGTTGGCCATGGAAAAACAAAGTAAATTAATAATGCACATGTACTGTAATGTCTGCCCTAACTGCACTTTTCACTGCAGAGAACGTCAGGAAAAATTCAGTTAAGGTAAAATCATTAGGCAGAGTTGAAAAAGTCTCCCTTTCCAACATATAAATAAGAAAAAACCCTAGTCTGGGTGTGGTGAGCCTGTACAAAAATGTGTAATGCCATCAAGCCATTGTCATTCTTGTTTTAAATAATTGCTTATTCAGTAAAAAAAAATTGTTTTAGGCTGGGTGTGGTGGCTCACACCTGTAATCCTAGCACTTTGGGAGGCCGAGGCGGGTAGATCACCTGAGGTTTGAGGGCAGCCTGACCAACATGGCAAAACCTCGTCTCTACTAAAAATACAAAAATTAGCCGGGAGTGGTGGCAGGTGCCTGTAATCCCAGTTATTCCGGAGGCTGAGGCAGGAGAATGGCTTGAACCTAGGTCACAGGGGACAGGATGGATGTTGCAGTGAGCTGAGATCATGCCACTTTAGCCTGGGTGAAAAGGTGAAACAGAACAGCCTGAGATTTAAAAAACAATTGAGGATGCTATAGGGTTCCCATGAACCCTCCAATCAGTTTCACCTATTATTAACATCTGACATTAATAATAAAATATTTTACAATTATTGAAGCAATATTGACCTATAATTATTAGCTAAAGATCATGATTGATTCACATTTCCTTAGTTCTTACCCAATTCCTTTTTCCATTCCAGGATTGCATCCAGGATCCACACTGTGTTTAGTTGTCACGTCACTTTAGGCTCTGCTTGGCTGTGAGAGTTTTTCAGACTTTTGTTAGTCTTATTACATTGACAGTTTTGAGGACTACTGATGATTAATTTTGAAAGAGGTAAGCAGGTGCTCCTGTATTGAGATTTGTCTGCTGTTTTTCTCATGATTAGATTAGGGGTAATGGATTTTAGAAGACCATAGAGGTAAAATACCACTTTATTGCATCAGATCAAGGGTTTATACTACCAACATGATTTATGACTGTTGATGTTGAACTTGATCACCTGACCGAGTAGTGTTTGTCAGATTTCTCCACTGTAAAGTTACTTTTTTTTTTTTTTTTAACACCTTTATATACTGTATTCTTTGGAATTCACTATGTATATCCCACATCTAAGAAGTAGGGCTCTCATTAGCAATACTCTTGCTCATTTCTCCCACCTCTCAAAACGATCTATTCTTATGTAGCTTTATTTGATATTACTTATGGTTTTCAATCTCACCACCTCCACTTCTGTTCTCCAAATTATAACTGACAAATCATAGACCTTCAGAGCTCAGAGAGAATGTATGGCACCTTGTGCTTTTGGGGTTCGATTGCCAAATCCAGAAGAAGCAGAAATACATGTACTGAAAGAATGTTTTATTTAATATTTCCCCAAAGCAAGGACACAGTCATCATGGGGCAAATCAAATTGCTGGATATCCTGACATTTAATTTAGGGTCTAGTTTTATTTTTATTTTGAATTATATAAAAGGTATATAATTGTTTTAGTATCAAAGTTCTAAGGACCCCTCATATTTTGTAGAGAAATTGGAGAGGGAAAGTGAGTTGTCCCAGGCCACAGATCTGTATTCCAAGGATACATAGTCTGCTTGCTTCAAAGAGGAACAGACACAGATTTCCCTACAAAACACAGAAGGTAGCTGATTCTTTGATGATGAGGAGGAGGAAGACAAAGATGATGAGTAGGGGTAGAAGTTTAACATGGAGATAGTATCATTTCTTCAGTGTTTTATACACATGCATTTGTTTATATTTCTACATCATTTATAGGAGAGAGGAAAAACAAAGAAACATGAAACGATCTCTTAGGTAAGCACAACTGTTATCTTCCTAAACATTTCAAATTGTAATCGCTTCTGTCTATGGGCTAATGAGGGCATTTTTCTTCACACTCTTCTATTTTGCTTGAATGTTTTAAAGTACACTTTTGTAAATTTAAACATTTTGTCACTTAACTAAAAGCTATGTTAGAAATATAACCAAAAATTGTCTGGTGGTCAATTTATTTTAGTGGAAAGAAAATTGAACAAAGTTAGCAGTGTGCCATTGACCTTGAATTGATATTTAACTAACAATCTGAGTGCCAACCCCAGACAACTTAGGTATATCTTGCCTGTGGGTCACATCTAGCTCAATTTTTCTGTGAGTGGGAAAATTCAGAAAGCGGAGCTCGGTTTTTTGTTTTTCCCCAGAAGAATCTGCTCCCAAATCAACATATTGTAAAGGAGCTGGTAGGAAGGATGGATTAGGCTAAATTCACCCCAGGGAAAAACATAAAAGATATTTCTCAATGGAAAATACACTGATGCTTTTTTAAAAGGAAGTTTTAAACAGATATGTTTATTTCATTAATTTAATCCAATATGCAGCAGAGGACAACAAATAGCTGTTTTCTGGTGGTGAATGGGCTGGGCAAAGGACTCACATTCACAAACCTATAATTGGCATACACTGCAGTTATAAGGAGAGGAGAGGAAAAGGCAATGATGTAGCCTAATGTGTCCAAGCTTCTCAAGAGTGAGAATCCCTTTAGAAAGTCAAAACTGGGCCGGGTGCGGTGGCTCACGCTTGTAATCCCAGCACTTTGAGAGGCCGAGGTGGGTGGATCACCTGAGGTCAGGAGTTCGAGACCAGCCTGACCAATGTGGTGAAACTCCAACTCTACTAAAAATACAAAAAATTAGCCAGGCATGGTGGTATGCACCTTTAGTCCCAGCTACTCAGGAGGCTGAGGCAGGGGAATCCCTTGAACCCAGGAAGCAGAGGTTGCAGTGAGCTAAGATGGTGCCACTGTACTCCAGCCTGGGGAATAGAGTGAGACTCCATCTCAAAAAAAAAAGAGAAAGTCAAAATTATGTTATGGGTCTTTTACTGTCCATTTATTGACTAAATAAGAATTATAAATTATGAATTAGGGATGGTATTAATCACATAATCACACTACAGCCTTCTGAACACATTTGAAAAGCCAGAGGCATGTATGTGTGAAGACATTCATCTGATAAGTCTGTATAGAGTGCTTGCTGCATAGAGCCTTGCAGTAAGCCCTGGGACCACAGGGGCCCCTCACCAGAAAGGCATGTGCTGCTACTTCTGCGGCTCATGCTCCCATGCCCAGCCCTGTGTTCCTGGCCTAGGTCTTCTCTTCTAGGAGAGGAGTTGTTCTACCTGGACTCCCACTTCTGCCTCAGGTCTTCAGAGAATGTGAGAAGGAAATGCAGAGAGAACACCACGTGGACTGATGGTTTTGACCCGGCTGGAGTTCCGGTGTTCTTCCAAAGTCCAAGAGACTCTTGGTAACATTGGTTATTGCCTTCTCTGTTGCCCTGCTCCCTCAATTATTTGGAAGGTGTGCCAACCCTGACAGTAGAGGGTGGCAAGAGGGGCAGTAACAGTAGGGAGTGTCATCCATCTCAGAGCCTTGAATGTGTCCCCACCCCACAGCACAGAGCCTGCTCAAGGGAGAGAAGGGTGTGGGCTTTGGATTCAGTCTTACTCCAGAGGTTCTTCACGGGTTACACCGTCCCCTTCTGGTTTCTTGGATATGACACATGGTTTCTTGGTCCTCACTAAAGGCCTTGGTTCTTGGTGGATCTGTCCTCCACCCCCACCCCTAGGTTCCCTCAAAGCCAATTCTGATTGTCTAACAGGAAGTCCTGGGGAATAGTCAACATGTCCTTTCCCACTTGCCAACCTGGTTTGCTGGCTCCCAGCCTGGAAGGTGGGACCTGGATTTATTAAAAATCTTCTGGGTTTCCTTCCTTTCATTCTCCCTGATCCAACACCAGCAAAAACAACCCAAAATGCAAACCTCTCCCACTCTTGATTGATACCAAAACCCTAACGTTGGAGATCCTTTGGTTTAGGCTTTGACCTTGGGTGAAACTTGCAGCTGCTCTTAAAAACAAAAGTCACTGGTTAAGCCTTATCAGTAAGTTACCACTGAATGAGCTTATCAGATCCTGTCATGGTGGCAGATTTCAATAGTGGGAGGATGGAAAGAGAAACAGGAACCTTCCTCTTCCTACTTCCACCAACAGTCAGAAAAAAGGAAAACTAAAGTTTAGACAAATTAAGATTAAACTTAGGGCTCTTGCCCTATCGCCTCCCTGATTTCATGGTATAGTCATTGTAAGTTCTCTTCTAGAGCAGATACAGGCAGATTAGTGACAGAGTGTAATTTAGATCACTCTGGAGGTAACCAAAGTGTAAAAAGACACCTGAGAGATGCTGAAGATGAGGCTGGATGGGAAGAGAATCAGTGCCAATGAGGCAGTGAGTTGTGAGCCTATCCGTGGAAGTTAACACACCACTCACTAGATTCCCTGACACTATTTTATGTGATTTATATCCAAGAGATAAGGTTGTTAAAATTCCACATTTAACAGGTAAGAAAATCAAGGCCCAGAACGATTCGATAACTTGCCCAAACCATTCAGTAAGTGGCAGGGCCAAGCAGCGAACCCAGGACATGTGGTTCCAAAATCTCAAACAACAGTCTATGCTACGAACCAGAGGTGAAGCAAAACACAGGGTGGTTTTAGTTCAGCCTTAAGCTGTGTGGCCTTAGGGCAGGTCAGTTGACCTCTCTGGCCTTACTCAGTTCCTTCAACTATAAAAGGAGAAAGTTGGAGTAGATGACTCTGCTCTGACATTTGAAGAATCTATATGGAATACATCTGGCTATGAGGCTTGACAGTCCGTGCAACTATTAGAGCGAGGCTGAGGGTAGAGTTCTTTCCTCCCCACACCCACACCCCTGCCTCCAAGGTTTTATG